TTTTTTTCTTTCATCCTCTTTCCCAAAATATTCTTCCATTATTTTTACAGTAAAACAAACCATTATAGGCGCGGATCCAGGAAATTCGAGAAAAAAGGGGTGACTGTCTCCCCTCTTACCACCCCCTTGATCCGCACCTGTATTATTCGGCACATGTTAACATTTTGACCTAAATTGGACTTCCTGTGGTAAGAATTTTTATATATATCGTGTTCATACCTGTCCTGAGACAATCTCAAATAACAAGAACGAAGCCATGGGGCGAGAATAGTGATCACCGCACTCGATCTCATTCCATGGACTGCGACGAGTACCGTCATATTTATTCCTCGTGTCTGTCAAGACTAGGAAAAAAACAAAAAACAATAGGATTATTGCTGGATGGAAACTAATAAAACATGTATCACGCGACTTTTTTCAACAAAAAATTGTATCCCCAATTTATCGAATCCCGAAGCAACTTCCGGGCTGATCAAAGTTATGGCACACTCAAGCCTAGTATCCTCAAAAACAAGATTTTTTTTTTTTTTTCGCGCGCCTTTGTTTTGCTATATAATTTCCCTAGGTTTTACAGGCTACTTTTTCGTTGCTTTTGTTTTTTTTTGTGCGCCTTTGTTTTCTTTTCTTAAATAGTCCTACGGAATACGGACCTTTTAGGGCAATGTCTGGTAACCCTTCGTAGAGACAAAGCTCAGCAAATTCATACTCCAAGCCTGACCATGCAGCCTAAATAATATAGTAAAGAAATGAGAAAAACACTGCCACCTCCACGTGAACTACAGTCACCACCACCATCATCATCATCATCATCACCATCATCATCACCATCAACGTCCTCATCATCATCCCCATCACCATCATTATCATCATCATCATCACCATCACCATCATCACCATCATCATTACCATCACCATCATCACCACCACATCATCATTATCATCACCATCATCATCACCACCACCACCACATCATTATCATCATCATCATCATCATCATCCATATCGTTGACAACTTTGATTCATAAATGATTTGTGAATAAACATCAAGCGTCAATAAACCTCAGAATGGTAGAGCAGTGGACTGGTGGGCAGAGATCCAGGGTAAACACAAATCTGCATTCCCGCGTCTCTCTGATCTAAGAAAGCCCTTGGTTTTTGAGTGGCTGGAAAACAAAATGATAAAAATGAATGAAACATTAACATCTTGAAATTGTAAACATAACCTAGAAAAACAGCTGGGCTGATATAAGTCAGGGCATGGCTAACTCACAAATAGAACCCTGAAACAACCTCTAGGCTGATCTAAGTCAGGGCATGGCTAACTCACAAATAGAACCCTGA